ACCGTGCAGTGTGAACCATCATCCAGCTAGAACTGACAATGGCGATTTGCTCTTATAACTTGGTTGCCCTTGAATTTCACAAGGTGCCAGCTTTTGAAGGTGGCAGAACTCTGCCTGAGTGACTGCAGTAGCCCTTGCTTTCCTCTTTTGCAGCTCAGTTGGAAGAAGAAGGAGCAAGAAAGGCAGTATTTCAAAGGGCTGTGCAGATAGAAGTTTGCTCATAGTGGTTTCAAGCATAGATGATGGTAGCTGGAAGTACCTGTAAACTCCTGAGCTCCAGTGACAGTCAAGAGGCTCCTTTCAGCATTTTAGGGAATTCAAGCACTGCTTACAGAAACCAACACCCTTCCCAGAGCACAATGGCTTTGACATACACGCCCCAGCCTTCACATCAGCTCTCAGTTGGTGTTTTCTAACTGTTGTCTTGCGGAGCATTAAACTTTTCTCCATAGAAAGACTTCAGGTTTGCAGGGTTCATCTGTGTCTTACACACACTAAATGGCTGTTCTTTGGAGATTTTCATGGCCCTATAGAAGTCATCCTTACACCACAGGTTGAAAACCTCTGTTACCCTTCCAACAGACTGAAGCTCCTAATTATAGTGAGGTATTTGCAGTGGAGAGAGAGATTTTTACCACTTCCGTGGGAATCCTCTCCAAGGTTGGCTCTGTTGTCACCCCAGGCTTTTATGGATTGTCCCTGGTAGGGGATGACCAGGAGAAAGTATTGGCTTCATCAGCTTAGCAGAGTTCAGATGCTCCAGTCTCACTGTAAGAGTAAGGTTTGCCCTGTGCTTCCACCCAGCGCTGTCCTCATAACACCCAATACAAGACAGAGAACTAATCCCATTGCTCCTGCGATGCTGTTCAGCTATGCCAACCCAATCTTTGACGTCAGCTGGTGGGGAAGGGACTGATGAGATGGCCTGTGTTGTATTCCTACATGATTAGTCACTCCAAGGGAATTTTTGTGATGCTGATCTGAATGCATTCACTGTTACTGCTCCATCACCTGCCATTGAGCCCAGTGGGGCAGTGCTAGCGAGGTGGATGAAGGGGCGAATTCAGTGTAACCCAAGAGGATGCTGAACATTTTGCTATTCGGAGGACACCAGCACCACTGTTCTATCATGCACAGAGGTACATGTTAGAATAGCATAAAGACAGCGGGGAGGTCTATGTGAAAAGTCACGGGACTAGGAGCAATCAGAGTAGTAATCTCGAAGCCCTGCTCTTCCACTGACTATGTTATGACCCTGGGGCATGTCATCTCACTGGATTTGTTTTTATTGACCTTTTCCTACATCCTTGGGCTTTTTTTGTGTGCCAGCCCTTCCAGCCATGAGCTGTTTCTAAGTGCATAGATACTTGCAAGTCTTAGCACAGCTAAGCCCTGACTTCCCCCACTCATTACTAGCATTTAAATAATCAAGGTACAGCTTGTGATTACTCATATGGTGCCCCTGGTCTATCACTACACTTTCTGTCCCATCTTTGTTTCCCTTCTAGATTGGGCTAAGGAAGGTTCAAGTGGGCTTGGCAGCAAACAAGATAGAGAAGGACTCCCTAAAAAGCCAAGCACAGGAGAGCCTTGTTAACTTGGTAATGACTTCCTCCCTGCCACCAAAATTCCCTGAAAAGCCTTAACCAAAGGCATCCGAAAGTATGTTTATCCATCTGGAATGTGTTGTCAGGAGAGATGATCTGATTAGGATCTCAGCACCGGAGGTGTGCAGGGACCACATAGAGCATGGAACTGCTCAGGGTGCACTGGGCAGCTCCCACTTACCACCCCCAAGCACTAATTAGCCAATACTCTTGGCAGCTTCTGCCATGCACTGAGGTCTTTGCTTCCCTGCATAATTCCTATCAACAGAAATGAAGCTGAGACAGGAGATGGATGGTCTTTCATCTCCAAGTGACAGCGGAGCAGTGGCAGTAGGGAATGATGTTTTTGCACCTGGATTCTCCTTTGGTGAATGGTTAAAAGATCATGGATTCTGGCAAAGGCAGGTGGGAATCAGTGGGGATGAGATCTTCCTGTTTCTCCTAGATGCAATAATCTAGCTGGGGTTTTAATAACACTGCAGACTAGAGATGACGAGCACTGACTGCTAGCAAAGACATGAACACAAGAGGGTGTTTCTTGAAGGTATACAGCTTGGGAGAAGACTTGCTGTTTAGCTGCCACATGTTTATTCTAACAAATCACATCTGTAACTGGTTTATTTTCTCCTGGACTGAAAAATCCATTGTAAGTACAGATATTGTTATAGACTGCAAAGATCCTAGGACACTGAGGGCTTCTTCCTTGGAGAACTGCAGGACCTGACAGACGGTAAATCGGAGCTACCTGGTTTGGAGAGAAATCAGACTGAAGCAATCTAAATTTAGTGCATGAGGTGTGTGTTGTAGGATCAATAATTCCAGATGTCTGAATGTGTTCTGTCTCCTTTTTTCTCCCTGTAAGTCAATTTCTTTGGATCTGCTCCTCACTCAAACCATATTTGAAACCACATCTTATAATATTAGGTCGTGATTAATGAAGGCTAAAGAATAAATATTTTCCAAAGTAAGCCCTGGCCTTGTCTTCCTGGAATAATGTCAATAAACAGCCTGTTTCTATGTGCCACACTGCTGGAACTGTGGTTTAACTCAGCCAAGCAGTCACCTAGAACTCATGGAACATGAACAACCTGATGACTTTTAGCTGCACGCATTGTAAACTCACAGTGGTGAGCAGGTAAAGAGAAGGAGACACTGAGGGAATTCCTATATTAGAAATACTGAGTCAGTTCTTGCTTTATTTCATCACTATACATATTTTAATAGAAGATGACAAACTGTTTGACAAAGGTAGAGGAAGGACAAAATAAAACAGAAATAAAGAGAAAAGGAAAGGGAAAACAGTCCTATTCATAGCCTGTTTCTTCTTAATCTCCTTCACCAAAGCTGATCTCTGTAAATCTGCTGAGATTCCAATCGGGATATATTTGTCTGCTCTTGAGATGTAAGAGGGAGAGCTGATTAACATCAAACGACACAAAGCGAATGGAGGAGAGCTTTGTTCAGGCTGATGTATAATTACTACCCTTTGGTGGCTGCTTTCTATCAAACCTAAAAGGATCGGAGGGATTTCCTTTGGTGAAAGTGATCACTCTGTGTCTGCATTTTTCTTCCTGTTGCTCCATCTCTCCTTGTAAGATCAAGCCTCCAAACTGCTACAGAACCACACTTAATGGAAAAGAAGCACTAAGCTGCTCATTTAATAGGAAAGTGACATTTTTAATATGGAAAATAATACCATGGTCTTATTTAAGGTTAAAATCTACCCCCTCATCAAGTTTGGATTCAATCAAAGCTCAGCTCTATACAGTCTGAAGAAGGCATTTCCAGAATCAGCCCACCTGAGCTAAGATCTAAGATGGGTCATGGAACTAACACCAACTGGACACAGCACTCAAAGGTGGCTAAAAGTTAAGTGAAATGAATGTCCCTCAATTGAAGGTGCAAATAAAATAATCTGGTAAATTTGGAGCATCTTCTGACCATCCCTAAATTTGGAGTTGGGGTTTTGTGTGGATAAAGACATGGGAAATAAAGAAAGTACTGGGATCATTGAAGATTTAGAAAGTGTTGTTCATCCTGCAGAGACTTAGAAGCTCAGAGGATTTAGTGTATCCAGGAAAACGTGAAGGCCCACAAACAATCACACTAAGAAGAGATATCTAATGCTCTTTAATTGATGCTTTAATCAAGTGGGAAGAGGGTGTAATCTCAGAGTAGAAGCTCCAGCTGGACACACGCAATGCATATCTTTCACCATGCAGACAACTACATTTGAAGCAAATGACTCAGTGACAGGGATTAATTTTCTTTCCCTTGAAATCTCTAAATCAAGTTCATTTTTCTTTGACTTGTGCTTGCTCGAGAGGAATGGCTGCATTAATACTAGAGAAGACCTAACAGATCCCCCCACTCTACGTGTACCTCTAATGTATTCCTTGATGCTTCCTGCTGCAGGAAGACTTACAACTCCGACTCTTACAACTTTGACTTACAACTCAGAAGGATGCTGGAAAGATGGGCATCACTCCAGGTAAAAGGGGTAGGTACTGGAAAGTATTTTGTCTGACAAAACAGAGTAAATTGCCCCTATCTCTTGTCTTCACATTTACAGGCATATTCATGACACAAGGTTCAAGCTTGTCTTCCAGTGCTCCTGGACCTCACTTAATCCAAGTGATGGCAAGGGATTGGCACTGTCACCCTATCCTGCAATGTGATGATCTCAGAGAACAGGCAGTGCCTTTGGGGAGCTGGAGATGCTCCAGGGCACAATGGAAGTAATTCAGAAACAACCATCTTTTCAAACATGCTTTGCAAACTGATGCTTCAACCACTAACCTTAGTGTGTTAGGGGATGTAACTAGTCAGTATTCAGCAGGGCTGCCCTGAAAGAATAAATAGTCCTAGGGGTCAGCATGCCCATCATGGGCTTCTTTTCTCTAAATACCCTTTAGCTGGAAGAAGCTGGACAAGCCCATAGGAAGATGTGCTCAGAGCACTCACCAGTGTCTTGTAATCAATCTGCTGTCGGATCAGCTTGTCCTCACTCAGTGAGTACCGGGCTTCCCCAGTGATGGAGTCGATGGGGCCCTTTTCCATCTGCTGTTTGATGGCACAGAAAAGGGAGAACAGAGGCTCCCCAGCACATTCCTGCAGCGGGGAGAGACAACCATGAGGTGAAACAGGAGGAGCAGAGGTGAGAACACAGCCTATATAGCATCTCAATGACTGCCACGACTTGCCATCCCCAACCACTTAGGACAGATGTATTAGCGTGAATCGGTCTATTCCATCCAGCCTGGGAATAGAGGTGATCCTCCACTTCCACAGAGTGCAACCTGCCTTCTCGAGTGTCCTGTCATGGGACAAAGTTTTCAGTGCTCCCTGGAGACATTAGGGATAGCAGAGCCTTGTAGGAGCTGTTTAAGTGATTATCACCAGGATAGAGCTTTGAGCACATAGTGGGATGGGTCCCAGAGGACCTGGGGACATGTCCAAAGGGATATGGACTGCTGGTGCCCAGTTCTCTGTGTGTCTGGGCAGAGTCCACAGTGTCCCTAAGCACTCTCATGCTGGGGTAAGTAGGGATGCTCAGGCACCAAAGCAGGTGTACCCCTGGACCTATATGGTTGAAACAGTGATGTCAAAAGTGTGGGGCCCAGCACAGGACAGCATCAAGCAGCCCACAGGACAAGCAAAACACACCTCTCCCTAATTTCTCTTTCCCATCATTTGCACTCACTGCACTCCTCATCCCACACTTTTCCTAGCCTCTCCTCCCTTGCTGCTCTCCATCCGCCCAAACACTGCCATTCATCCCTCCTTATGCTCCTTCTATTGCCTCCTTTCCATATCTCCATCCTTCCTCCCCTCCTCCCCATCTTGGCCTCTCTTCTTGCACTGTGTCCCAACTCAATGAGCGAGGTCATTTTCCCCTGGTGTAAATCCCAGTAAAACCAAGTTAATAAACTGAAGCCAAGTGGCCCCTTTCTCAGTTCCTATACCTGTCTCCTACTTAATTAGCTTATCTGCCAGCAGCATATTGCTTCTGTGAGCCTGTCTCTTGCCCTTATCAGGCCTCTGTTCAGGCTAAGGCAAGAAGACAAGTAGCTGAGTTGGGTGAAAAAAGCCTATTATAAAAGCAGCTCTTTAGAGAGTCACCTCCTTATATCCTTTCTTTTCAGCTGAAAGCAGGAATCTGATACTGAAGTCACTGAAATTACCTTCCAGGGACCTTCAAAACTTTCCCACATGTTCATCATTGCACTGGTTGTGCCTGGGAAAGGCTCAGGGGAATGGGATTTATCTGTAAAGCCTTCAATTGCCAGGCAGAGGGTGGCTATTCTGTCCAAATGGGGTTATAAGGTGTAAAGATATCTAGTAACTCCATTGGGAGTGGGGGAGAGGTGCAGAGCCCAGCTCCTTCCTGGCTCTGAGTTTGATGCCTCAGCAATTAGCATTCTTGAGGCTTAACAAGTGTCCCCAGGAGGAAGCTGCCATCACCCAGCAGTCAGTGGCAGGGCTCGAAGGCTAAAATACTCTTTTATTCTATTACACACACCTCAAGGAGACCCTGTGGGAGGCACAAGAGAACTCAGGGGGTGTTTTAAGTCCCTTTAGTCTCCTGGTGAGGACTGGCCTGCAAAGCCACTGGGGTACAAAGCACCAACAGCCTGTGTTGAGTTCTGGATGCAGCAGTCATGGGGTATTGCATCCAGCCTTCTGTTCCCAGAGGGTGAATGGCCACGTCCAGGGCAGGCTTGAAAAAGCCTAATGCCAAGAAGAACTTGGGCTCAGGCCGAGCAGGGATCTGAGCAGGGATCTGATTGCGGTGTGTGTAAAGCAGGTAAGTATGATGGAGGTACTGGACCTCAGTACTGCCTCTGAACTGGGGTGGGAGGAGATCTCCACCCGCTGTACTGAAAATACAGGTCACCAGGTGATGGAGATCTAAATGCTCTTAAAGTGAGAGCATTTTCAATATGTCTCCATCAGGCTCTGAAGTCCTTCACGTTTCAGTACTGACCCTTAAATCCCGCCTCTGTACAGGAGTAAGAACAACAGGCTACCCCTCCAACAAAAAGTCTCCCTCTTTCTTCCCCCGGATAAGAAAACAGCCCCTCTCCCAATAGGCAGCGATCTCCTTCTAGAGAAAAAACCCTTTTGCTTTATATCTGGGAAGCTTTTGTCCCAACTAAACCTCACCAAGAAGAAACATAGTAAACCAGCAGCTATCCATCCAGTCATGCTGCTCCTCTTACCTTGAGGAACTTGTACAGAAGGAAGGTAAACCAATTGGTGAGCATTTTCTCAGCCACAGACTCTGTTCTAAAATCAGCCAGGGAGAAAAAGCAGGTTGGAAATGAGTTAGTCATGTTGGTCATATCAAAGGGCTAGTCAAAGATTGGCTTTGTCCATCTCACTGCCCTGAGCCCCACGGGAAGTCTGTCATGACACCATCAGGATTAAGCATGTCCTAGGTTCTCTGTTTTAGCTTTGGATTTAGGAAACCTGCAGGCAAATCCTTCCTGCCCTGTTGATTCTGCTGTGATTAGGGAAGTCCCTGTGTCTGTTTCTCAGTTTCTCTATCTGTGGAAGGGAGATGACAATATTTGAGGAAACCTTCCCGGAGGAGCTCAGGGAGGATAAATCCACCAAATATGAGGAGCTCAGAGTTAGGCCATATGATATGTAGGCTATATAAATACTTAAGACAGACAGGTCTAAATCACCAGGGAATAGCTATCTGGCACTGTCTACCTCCCTGGCATTTGGGATTGATTATACTCCTCAATGTTTCAATATGACACATTCACAAAACTCACTGTTTTGCCCTTGAACATTCTGTTCTCAACCAAATAAAAGTCCATCTTGAGTCTTCAGGATGAACTTTTCCTACAGAAGGACTGACTCAGACCTGTAAATGTTGTGTGGACACCAGGAGCACAGCCTGTGCTGGCTCCAGTACATAGAATCAACTAGGTTGGAAAAGACATTTAAGATCATCGAGTTCAACTGTTATCCCAGCACTGCCAAGGTCACCACTAACCCATGTCACTGAGGGCCTCGTCTACATGGTTTTTGAATGCACTGGTGTTGTTCAAGAAGAAAGGAAGAGTCCCAGCCTGGATGAATTAAAGCAGGTCTTCCTTGTTCTGGCTGTCACCAAAGCCATGTGGTGGTTCTTGCTTAGGACTGCAGCTTGACTTTTAGGTTCCTAGTCCTTCAGCATAAAGTTGATCTTGCTTCCTCTGGAGCATGAGACTTGCAAGGGAAGGGTTTGCAGTGCTGGAGTTATAACACATAGAACCAGTCAATAATCTTGCATGGAAACAGCGCCTTGTTTCACCAACACAGAGCCAGTGACCATCCCCTTCCATAGCTGAATGCTCCTCTTTTCTTGCCTGCAACTAGAAAAGGAGTTGCTGTGGTCCTAGTTTGCTCCCAGATTAATGCTGTGTTTGCTTTGTCTACGGTGATCGTTGCTGTGTCTTTGCCTAGAGAATACCACTCTTTCCATAGCTAAATGCTCCTCTTTTCCTGCCTGCAACTAGAAAACGAGTTGCTGTGGTCCCAGTTTGCTCCCAGATTAATGCTGTGTTTCCTTTGTCTATGGTGATCATTGCTGTGTCTTTGCCTAGAGAATACCACTCTCCAGACCAGACTGTTCACCCTGTATTCCCCTCAGTCAGTGTCACCTAGCTGCTCTTCTCCATTGGTCATGATGTGATATTCAGTTCCAGAAATCCTGGTGCTTATCATGGTCTGAGCTCCTTGCAGAGAATGCCACCTGGAAGAGTGGTCTTTCCAATGCTCTCTGATACCTGGGACACATCACGTCATGGTGCAAATTTAGCATTATCATGGTGTGGTTGCTTTCTGCCCAGACAACTTTGATCTCTTTGAGGCTGTAGATACTATGTGAGATGAACACTGGACATGGGTGAGGTGGGAAAATCAAATATACACCCCCAAAACCAACACTGCAGAGAGGTTTGGAAGGATCCCTTCCATCCACAGACTGACAGGAAGGGAGGGAAGCACCAAGTTGAATCCAGCTGCTCCAAATAACTGAGGACTTCATACCAACATCTGACCCAAGGAATCCAGCTATTCACATGCTCAGCAGTAGACTCTGTTCTGGTGCTGCTCAGTGCAGGACAAACCACATCTCTGACTGCATCTTGTGTTTTCAGGGCTTAGAACAGTGGAGTTGCTTGCTTTGTTCACTAGTTTTCCTCCCAAAGGCCACAATTCGTTTCCAACAAAGAGGACTAAAATAGAAAAGAGCTGGAAGCAGGAGAAAAGCGAAAGATGGGATGCTCAGGACAAGACTGGAATGAACAACCAGGGAAGATAAAGACATGGAGAAAGGAAAGGAAAAGGAGAAAATGAAGGGAGGACACAGTTGGAAGGAGGCAGTGCCATCCAGCATCAGAGGAGAAGCACAGTTAGGAACCCTGGGGACAGCTGGAGAATGGTCACCAGCTGGGCTGTAGGGCCTGAATCACATCAGGGGTCAACTGACACCAAAGCAAAGTCTGGTCTCTGCCCCTGGCATTGCTGCCCTGAATGTCAGGAAGTGCCTTTTGCTCCCTTGTTTGCTGGTTCTCCATAGGGCTGTGTGCCAGATGAAAAGCCCCCCAGAAAGCACCATGGGTCTCGTCCCTGTCCAAGCCATCCATTGTAATCAGCTGAGGGCTCCTCAAAGCTGACTTGGAGCAGTGGCAAAGGGCATTCCTCTCCAGAAAAGTCCCCCTGATTTCACCTGTGGTCCTAAGAAGGGTTGGTTCAGACTATGAAAAGGAGATGAATGTGATTCCAAAGGGAGAAAAAGTGGCATTTCCCTAGGCAAGGAAAGAACAGTCACAGAACAGTAGATTTCTAATTTGAGGGTTCCCACAGAATTATGGAGTTTAGACCTTAGACCTGGGAAAAATCCAGACTTGTGCCCTCTATGAAACCAGTTTTATTGTCCAGCTCAGATCTTCTATTGGCTTCAACAGGCTTCATCACAATTGCTCAGGGTGAGACAGGAGATCCCACAGTGGAGCTGAAGAAAACTTTCCCTGTGTCCATAGTTAACTCATGAAACAGAAACTAAGCAGGGCAGTCCTTGACCCAGGCAGGACAGAGCAGCAGCTGACTGACTTACTCACCATGTGTATAATACAGACTATTCTATGTGATATACCTATAGGTCCTATGCAATTGGAGTTTTCAGGTTAAAAGGAAATATAATCATAATGACCATCTTAATCACAAGAATCCAAAATATGGATTAGGAAGCATGGGCTTTTGCTGCCATTAGGAAGCTTTCTGGAACATCCACATGGAAATCCAGAGGTAGTTTAGTTCTGTAACTTTTAATCACTGACTACTTTTTGTTGAGGAAGAGACAGAGCAAGATCTACAGACACACTTGCTGAAAGGGAAATAAATGCAGAGAAGATGCTGAGAGGAAGAGAAAAGTCCACTAAGAAAAGGCATGCTCTGCCAGGAAGTCTTAAATGAGCAGGAAACCAGAAAGGGAGAGAAATTTAGTCTTCATTCAGCCCTATTTGCCTTATTCAACTGCAAACAGCTTCATACCATCCCTACTTTGAGTCACCATCCCTGGAGGTATTCAAAAGACATGTAGATGTGGCACTTAGGGACATGGTTTAGCAGTGAACTTGGCAGTGCTGGGTTAACGGTGGGACTCGATGATCTTAAAGGTCTTTTCCAACCTAAAAGATTGTATAGGGTCATGCGAACCATGGCTGTAACCATCCTGACTTCACACAAATAAAAACCAGGCAAATCTGCCCCTTTCCTCCAAAGAAGGCAGTGGGACACAGCTCAATCCAGCCCCTTACCTCCGGAGCAGCAGCTTGGGGTGGTTCTTGCTCTCCAGATTCTTGTCTATGAGGTCAGCCAGGAGCTGTTTGAGGACATCAGTAGCGTACTCCAGCTTGCTCTGCAGCACTGTCATGATCAGTGAGGCCACGTTACCACGGTCCCGCATGGAGAAGCTGCGCTGGGATTCCAGAGTGCGGATGAAGGAGAGCAGGAAAACCTTGTTGTTGATGAGCTGGGCAAAGAGCTTCAGGCCTTTCTCCACCCGTTCCTGCCTATAGCCAGGGACCTGCAGGAGAAGAAAGGGAGTTTATACCTTTCACTCTCTAGACCTTCCCAACTGGGTCACACACCCTTTGCTACCTCTCTACCCTCACCCCTCCAGCTCCTCCAACTATACACTGTAACATTAAATAGAAGTCAGTTCTGAGAAAGGGAAAAATGAAAACCAGAGACAATTATAATCTTGCATCTAGCAGTCAGTTGAGTCCTTCTGCATCACAGAATAGTCATGTAAAAAGGAAAAGAGTCCATACATCATCTAATGATTAGGAAGCCTGAGAGACCTCCTAGACACAGCCAGAGGATTCTTTTCCAATCCTCTGTTTCCCTCTCTGAACAATACATCAAAAAGAAATTGCTAGTGCCTAGAGTGGTACCATACCATGATACATTTTTGTTGTAGTCAGACTGAAGTCTCACTCTATCTTCACCTAAAGCCTCTCTTTCATCTCTGCAAGAAACCTGATTACAGAGATTTGGGGTTCAGCTTCAAGAAGCTAGGATTGAGAGCAAGCAAATGAATGGGGAAGAGAGCCTGGGGTCAGGTTTTAAGGAGATGAATTGATGAGCTGTGAGGCAGTGGCTGAGGTGGTGATCATGCAGGTAAGCCTTGGTTTGAAGAAGTAGGTAGATGAAGGTGTGAGAGGACACCCTGAGGCTGGGACCTGTCTTGGATGTCCCACTGCAGTAAAACCCCTGGGTTTGGAAGGTGGGATGGTTTGGAGACAGAGAGGTTGATAAGCCTCAGCTGTGACAGGCTGATGAACTAGTTTCTGTTCAGAGCAATTTATGTCCTCAAGGCTGGACTCCACAGTCTACGGTGGGCTTTACCCTTTCTGGTCCTTCTGGCTGTAGATGAAAATGGGGCCTAAATAGAGAACCCCAAACTCATTCCTCCACATTGCTGCAGTTATTCCAGCCCTTGAAAAAGCTTCCCTGGAAGCTGGAGGTGTTCAGCACAGAGCAACACATAAGGGGACTTGAGCATCTCCCATATGAAGACAGGCTGAGAAAGTTGGGGCTGTTCAGCCTGGAGAAGAGAAGCTGCTCAGAGCAGG